GGAGAGTGAGAGCCAGGCCTTCTCGTCCAACATCAGTGTGCGACCTCACAAATACGCTTCTGGAAGAATGGTCAAAAATTCGCCTAAACACACTCCTAAACCTTGTGGACAGCCTTCCCAGAAGAGTTGAAGCTGTTCTAGCTGCAAAGGGTGGACCGACGTCATATTGAACCCTATGGATTAGGAACGGGATGTCACTTAAGCTCATATGTGAGTCAAGGCAGGTGAGCAAATACTTTTGGCAATATAGTGTATGTATACAATGAAAATAGAAATAAGATACTAGATTTGAACAGGCTTAGAATACAGTGTGAATGCTTGTGTTCATTGCAGAGGAAACTAAAGCTTCAGAAGTGGCTGCTAAGTTGATGGTTGTTTGAGTAAGCGGCTTACTAACACTGTTAGTAGGGAAAGCAATGCAATACTCAGCATTTCAGTTGGGGGGGGCATCCCCCTTCTTAAAAAAATCTTAAAAAGCATCCCCCTTTGTAAATGACCATCTCCGCATACCATCCCCTGAAACATTTTATTAATAAATGTGTAAAGTTTTGACTATATATTAACAGTAATGGTAATAATATTGCCCCTTCAACATTTGGTGGGCTGTGGGCTCACGAGTGGCCTGAGCAAAATAAATAAAATCTAAGAAGTGGCCTACCATGACTATGAAGCTGATCCCAGTGGGAAATTAGTCCCTAACTCTGTAGGGGCAGTGATAGCCATGCCAGTTCAGGGACTGACTGCTGTTCTACTGTAAGGTGTCTTGATCAAAGTCAATGACTGGCGTACCTGATGTGTAACAAACATACCCAGGATATTAATTAGGCTATGCATACTTCCAAAACGAGCAGCTGGTAGAACTGTTGCTTTTCATCGAGAAGCTCCCAGCTTGGGTTCTTTTTTTTTTTGTTGCTTTTTTTTTTTTGCTTAAAGCTTGCATGTTATCCACACAGATGCATGCCTTCTTTCCTGTTACTCCAATTTCCTTCCCCAGTCCAAAAACAAGACATTAACCTCTAAACTGCTCCCAGATATGAATGTGTGTACGCAGAGGTTGTTTTCGTCCTTGGTAACCACCACACACACACACACACATCACACACACCCCCACACACACACACACAGACACGCACAAACAGTCATGTTTGTTCTGCTATTTGCAGTAAGGGCCATGTGCTGACTCCCATTGACTTCCATTGATTTTCAGTCATTTTCAAGCCTTTCTATGCCCTAACCCTAAAACTAAACCTAACCATTACCAAAATACGATTACCCCACCCTTACTCTAACCAAATTAACACATTCGCCGTAAGTTTTCACTTGGCATAGTCCAGCTTCTAGTTTACTTACTCTTGAAATCCATGTGACACCCACACACAGTTACTGAAATCAAGAGAACCATGCACAAAGTCACACACTCCACAGATAATG